TCAGTATACTGAGGTCATTCGTTAGGTCAATATGCTGAGGACACAAGAAATATCAGTATACTAAGTACACAAGGAATGTCATTGTTCTTAGGGCACAAGGTCAATAAACAGTGGACTCAGGATAAGATCAATACACTGGGACCAAAAAGGATAGTAATTTTTACTATCGACTTTAGTTTTGTATCTGAAAGCACGTTGGATAACCATTTTGAGAAGTGTGCTTCAAACAGTGGAAATGAGCGAATTACGCATCGAAAAGTTTTAAACGTGAACAGTGGCGAGTCATTTAGGTGGCAGTCCATCAAGCTTTCAGCTTGATAAATAAATTTATCATTGAATTTTATGTTATCTAATTTGACACTAATCTCATCAAGACCTCTTTAGTACCTTGTAATTTGAGGAAATTAGGCTTTTGTTTACGTTTCTTAAGATTGGCAGAGTTTGTGTCAGAATGAGCAGTTCGTTCTCTCGAACGTTCACGACGTCACTAAGCTGATGTACTAAATTATCCGAACCTAACCTAACCGAGGTCCAGCGAATTGAAAACGGGACTTTACGTCAATTTACGAACGGCTATGATTTTAGTACTGCAATTCCTAATTTAGTACTGCAATTTTTGGTCTTAGGGGATAAGTCAAAATGCGAGGAACTACTGGAGAGGACGGGTAGAAATGGCGCCATCCCCATGGCGCTTTGAATTGCACAAAAAGTTTTCTCACACTAGGCTGTTTAAAGCAGCGGCCGTCCTCCCCTGACGCATTCATCAATTTTAACATACGGTGTATTAAAATGGGTTTGTTCTCATATACAAATTAATATTCTTATAAATAAAAATGTTTGTATAGTTTGTCGTAGGTTAGATTAGGTGTTTAGGTTCTGTTGGTGATTATTTGTGTTTCAACCCGTCCTCGACTCAAGTCCATTACATTCAGCGGTCAACCCCACAGACGCATTCATATATTTTAACATGCTGTTCATTCAAAACGGGAATTTTCTCAAGTATAAATTAATATTACAATATATTAGCATATTGTGTATAAATAGGCATAGGTTAGGTTAGGTGTTTAGGTTCTGTTGGTGATTATTTGTATTTGTAGTACGTGGGTGAAGCATTTATAGCGTTATGGTTCGAACAAAATTCGTCAGTGAAGCACTTGTTCCGGATATGTTCGAACGTCAGCAGTTGTGAGTCGTGTGTAAACCGCTTTTCATTCATAAGCAGGGGGTTTGGCGGGTGCATGGAATCACTTTTGGATCTTTGTTTGGAGGACGGGCTGTTGTATTTATAAGTTCGTGGGTGAAGCATTTATAGAATTGTGGTTCGAACAGAGGACGTGAGCGAAGCACTTGTTCCGGAAGTGTTCGGACGTCATCAGTTGTGAGTCGTGTGTAAACCGCTTTTCATTCATCAACAGGGGGTTTGGCGGCTGGATTAAAGAGTTTGGATCTTTGTATGCGTTAACGGGTTGGAATTGGACAACCCGTCCTCGACTCAAGTCCATTACATTCAGCGGTCAACCCCACAGACGCATTCATAAATTTTAACTTGCTGTTCATTCAAAACAAGAATTTTCTCAAATATAAATTAATATTATAATATATTAGCATATTGTGCATATATAGGCATAGGTTAGGTTAGGTTAGGGGTTTAGGTTCTGTTGGCAATTATTTGCATTTGTAGTACTTGGGTGAAGCATTTATAGCGTTGTGGTTCGAACAAAACTCGTCAATGAAGCACTTGTTCCGGAAGTGTTCGAACGAAATCAGTTGTGAGTCGTGTGTAAACCGCTTTTCATTCATAAACATTTCATTTGGCGGGTGGATGGAATCACTTTTGGATCTTTGTTTGGAGGACGGGCTGGAATTGGATTACGAGAGGGTTCATTCCAAACTTTAATGCGAGATTGTCTCAACCTTTCACTTATGCAGTTAGATTTTATCGACAGTGGCGGTCGTGTTGTGTTACAAATGTTAGAAATTTACGAGAAAAGGAAAACGGGTAAAACTCTGAGTTTACAAGCTGAGGAGAGATAAGAAACAAACGTTTGAACCCAAGAAAATTTACCGGATTTAGAACATATTGTTGTAATGGCGGCGAGAAGCCTAAAGCTTCCACCGCCTTCAGTGAGTGTCGTGATAAAGAGACAATAACTGCCACTACTAGTTTCCTATATGCTCGGGAGCGTTTGTGCTTTGAACGCAATACTTGTGAAGGTCAAAATCTTTAAAGCTGTGGTTAAATTACACTGTTCTTGCCACCTGCTTCTCTTGCCTGACTGGCAGTCAGGTGTTGTGACTGAATTCGTGTGATGTGCGCCTCATCCCACCTGCTGCCGTCAACAGGTAAGCAATTTCGTGAATATCTGTCGACTGCAGGTAAGAAATTCTTTAACATTTTGCAATGTTTGGTTACATAACTTTGTTACTGAAACTTGCGAATTATGCAGCAAGAGTATGAATGGTTGGAAATTATATGTGCCTGCTAAATTTAATGATCGGCAAACTGGATAACGATTCGTCTACGGTTGTTTACATGTCGTTGGCAGTGTCACGTGTTTACAAGGGAGATTGTACTCTGCAAGTTGTGCTTCCAGGAAACTGGTAGCAAAAGGAATAGTTATTTTGCTATGTAATCATTGTAAACACAGTCATTGCTATTACAAATCATTTTTGCTATTGATTTTGTGTCACATGCTGTATATCACACGTTTTCTGTCATGCGTTTTTTTGCCATTAGTTTTCTGTCGTTTGGTAAGGGGTAACATAGCTAAAGTTTTGTCTCGCACATGATCGTGCGCTCGCACACTCCCACGAAGCCGGAATACCCAATAAACCACGTAGTTACTGGCATAGAACCCACCAGCCCAAGGAAGGGTTGGCCACAAAGTATTACTTTTTTGTATCATTAAAACAGACAAATATGAAATAATACTTTGGAGTAATTAGGGTCCCGGTAGTACTTCCTGGAAACTGTTAGTAGATCGATCTTGGGAGGGACTTCCATGAAAGAATGAGGTGCTTGTTGCCTGACTCCGGCTTCTAGTTGTCCACTAGGTCTTACATCATCCCTCTGGGTCATTGGAGGGCTATCGAACGGCCATCCCATTGACCCAGAGGAAAGATGCAAGACCTACATTGGCGGACAGATAGAAGCCGGAGTCAGCCAACAATAATTTTACCCTACCCTTCGCCGCTCTCTACGAATCTCTCTCTACAAATAAGATAGAACAGATTCGAAATGGAAACAACAGAGGAGTTGCTGAATCTGCGATGAGAGTGACGGACACCGCCTTGACCACTATCTGAGAGAATGTGAATATCTAAGAGTCATTAGAAATATGTGGAGAATAATAAACCCCCACATTGTTTGATTTAGGAAAATACTATTTGTCAAATATTGATAACTGTTCTTAAAGATTCACCCATTTTATACAGGCAAGATAACGTAAGATTTTAAGGGTTGACAAATGTTAATCTTCTTGTTTGAGAAGCTGTTCACATGGGACAGTTAAGCAAGTCCCAGCTGTACAAGTGACATGATGAACAACCCAGCGAGTTTTCTTTCTATTGGGGAGTGTTGTACATGCTGCTATGGCGGTGTATCCACTCACAGGATGAGTAGAGCTGCCTAATAAACTCGCCTTTTGGGGCAAAATTTAATTTAATCTCTGAGGTTGAATTTTATTTATTTTTATTTGTATATACAAGAGTTCTTACATTTTTGTAAAGCCACTAGCACGCATAGCGTTTCGGGCAAGTCCTTAATCCTAATTTTCCCCGGAATTCGACCCCTCCAAATCGTTTAACAACCAGGTACCCATTCACTGCTGGGTGAATAGAGGCTACAGTTACGGATTGGCGCCCAGTCAATCCTCCCCGGCCAGGATATGAACCAGACTGCCAAATGAGAAAAGAATTGGAGTGGGGGGGGGGGGAGAGAAAGGGATGGTACGGAGTTACAGGTGAGGGGCAGAGGTGAGGAGTATGGAGAAAAGGGTTAAGATGGGAGAGAAGATTGGGGAAGAAGGTGGGGGGGTAAACATGGGGAGGGGAAGGGAGAAAACAGGGTGGGGGGTTCCTCGGGCACCGCCGGGTACCCCCCTATTATTATTATATATTAATAACAAAATTACATGCTTGAGTTATGTAGTTACTAACATAATTTACATAATGCCAAGTAGAATTTTTTCAGCCTTATTATCTTAAACTTTTAGCATATGTATATTTTTACCTACCCATTCTCAGTAAAATGAATATAGGGTATTTTGTTATAAATGGTTCGAATGAAAGCCAGATTTTAAATTAATTATATTGAACCTTTAATGACACAATGAATGAAGAGAAAAATATCGTAGACCTTAACAAAATAATACTTTAGGAAAACATCAGCAATGTTACAAGAACAAAAATATTGAAGAAATAAAGAGTAAACCTAGAAGGAAACATTTGCTTCCTTTGTTGATGGAGAGATTGCATAAATAATTTTCAGAATTGTCATTCAAAAATTAGTGATCTAGCCCAAAATCAAAGACTCTTTTTGTCATGTTCACTTTTAGTTAAGAACTGTGGGAAGCGCTTTGGTATGTGTCTTTCTATCCAGCCCGGCCTCTCCTAAGATTTCCCAACGTCAATAAACTGTCGTACCAAAGTGCCCTAATCCTAACCTACCAGAAGACCCCAAAACAGAAAAAAAAGAGGACAGTATATCAATTTCGCGTTACCGTTTTCTAGTACAAGTTTTGGCCTTATACGTCAAAGTATACTCTGACGTATACTCTGACGTATACATCAAACTACGACGGTCTATTAGGAGGACGGGTTCAGCTTCATCCAGCTTCAACGGTGCAACCACACAAACACAAGAATTTGTTAAAAACTGATTCACACATTGGTCACTGCCCAGTTGCAACAGGAATATTTGTTTTACAAACATATTTATATTGCAGAGTTGTTAAGGGTAATATGAGGCGTCATTCTTAAAGTTATATAGAAACAAGGAATATTTGTGATGAATTTAATGACAACATAAACAAAACAAAATGTTATCTTAACTGGCAATAACAGTAATCAAAATAATGATAATCATATTAAATAATAAAATATTATTTTCTTGAACTTTAAAAATAATACCAAATTTTGTTGTTGGTTTTGCTATAAACATGCTATAAAATTGGTTTAAACTTTGATTGCACTACGTGACAATTATCTTGTCCTCTGGGTAGTGCTATTTTGTGATTGCTTATGCCGCCAAAGTATAGAAAATAGCTATTATTCTCCTCAAACTTTGACTTCGCTTTAGACAGCTTAGTGAAGATGTCTCGAAGGTACCTACCTGAAAGTTGCCGTCATATGAAACAATGGGTCACAGCTCTGGTTAAGGTGTCAGCAGCTTTCAGATGTCTTCAAGATATCTTCCCTAAGCGGCACTGATCAAAGAAAAGCTTGAGGGAAGTAATAGGTATAATATATATACTATGGAGACATTTGCAATCGGAAATCAACATTTATTATCCAGAACAAAAATTGTTTCAGTGTTATTAATTTGTTAACCGACAGACAAGGCGCTAAGCTTACCCTGGCACCCAAAACACCAAGCTTACCCTTGCAACTAAGGCACTAAGCTTACAATAACAGCCAAGGCACAAAGTTGATAACGGCTGCTACAGAAGCTGCTGCTGCTTCAACAGGCCAATTCCAGTCAAAATGGGGCGCTGTGCCTGGTCATGTAGTGATGGGAGTGTTTGGGTCTGTAGCGTGGTTTGACCGTGAGGTATAATAGAGTGTGTGGTGGGGGGGGGGGGGGCAGGAGATGTATAATAGAGAGAGAGTGTGTTTGGTGGGGGGGGGGGGGAAGCAGAGATGTGCAAGTTTGTCGTGGAGTAGACAGAGTGGGGGGGGGTTACTTTCCGGCTACATCAAAGCCCCGATATACATAATTAACCCACTGTATCCAGATGGATACATGTATCCACTTTTCAAGCCTACCACAATGACCTAACAGATCAACATCTTTACTTTTCTGTCTTAAACTACACACACGCGCGCTTCTCCGACGTGTTTTGCTCTCCGTCTTCGGTATACGCGATGTTTTCCCTACACGTCAGCTCCAGTTCTCGAGCACAGTTGGTCGTCGTCATCGTCTCTCCTCTCGAGCTGGTCCTGGAAGGAAATAAAGAAAGGTCCTCATTTTGGCTGTCTTTGAAATATCACGTTATATGTCCTGAGTATATCATGCTCAACCTCATACTGAGTGAAGCCTCATGTCGACTTGAGAATGGTCCAGGACGGACCGAAACGTCGTCGTCCCTTCACCTTCTAGTGTGTGGTCTGGTCTATGAGAGACCTATTTAAGGTAGCAAATACTAATAGACAACTCTCCGCAGAAATATAATATATAATTCACTGTTAAGGTAAAATAGCAAATGAATTTATTCATCTTTTCAGTAGTTAACCGGAGTTGGCTGGGAACTGTTGCTACTCTGCACATTCTTTAGGGGACTGTGATCATACAGCCCATCCCTGGAACCGTAACTACCTTGCACATCCTCTGAAACTGGCACTACCTTACACATCTCCTGGTACTGAAGTGTGTATATCTTTGTAATGCTTACAGTTATTCTCATTCATTACACAATTTCCTTTCATTGGCCTTACTGTGTATTTTCACTGGAACGATTTACGTTTGTTCGTATACACAAGTGCTGTAACCTGACCACAGGTCTCTTATTGATCACTCCAGCAGTGATTAGGGTTCTGGTTCAATATATAAATAGGATAAACTATGGAAATAGAAGTGCTCTAAGCCTACTTACTAATAATGAGCAGAAAATATCAACTCCTGGGCCCACCTATATAAAAATAATATAATAACCATCACTAGTATATTAATACGATGATAATATTGTATCTTCGTATAGCCATCACAGGATTCCGTCTCGATTAACAATAGGACACGGGTATTAAAAGCTCAAAATATTAAGTTTGTTTTGTTTGGTTTTAATGCCTATCAACCTACTGACGAAGGTTATCAGGTACGCCACAATTGCATATATATATATATATATATATATATATATATATATATATATATATATATATATATATATATATATATATATATATATATATATATCTTCCTAGTATACCTCAGTCGAGTATAGCTTATTAAACTTTAAATTAGAATTCAAACAGATATTAAAACATTATTGATATTAAATCTTGTATCGTTATTTTTTATATTAATTTTTTTTAATATTCTAAATATATTGTTGTTATTTTCCACGATAATAATAAGAAAAAGAAGAGTACTTACAATATATATTTGTCCTGTTAGCAAAAGATATCAGGAGGGAAATATTAGTATTCATAGACAGTAATATGATATTATGATCCTTTCAAAAAAGATATGTTGCAAAACTGATGTCACGAGGATGTTGCAATAATGATGTCTTGATCATGTTGCAATAAAGATGATGTCACGAGCATATTACATGATTGACGTAATGAGCATGTTGCATGAATTATATCATGAGCATTTTGCAAGAATTATATCATGAGCATTTTGCAAGAATTATATCATAAGCATGTTTCAAGAATTATACAGTGAAAATGTTGCGAAATTTATATTGTGAGCAGGCATGCAAGAATTCTATCATGAGCATATTGCAAGAATATCATGAGGAATTGTGATAGAGTGTGAAGTGTCGTGTCTACAGTACTTACCTACTACAGTAGGTTTGGTCATCATTACTTACCAGTATTGACCTGTCAGTGTCCACGGGAGAGGGGATAAATTATATCCCCCGCCTACTGGCCTTGTTGTATTTGTTGCGTTACAACTCAACTGTAACTTTTCAAATTCTTTGTCGAATCAGGTTTTAAAGTTGTGGATGGAGGTGGTTAACTTCCTTTTTTAAAGCATTCAACTTTTCACCACCCGTATGAGTACTTTCATACTTCCCTTTGGCTCATTTGCGTTTCCAGCTTCTGTGTCAGCCTTACTCTCACCCTGAAGAGGCTATACTTATCGACCTTATCTATTACCCCCTCAGTATTTTTTAGGCTGTGATCATATTCCCTTTATTCCTTTTATCCTCCAAGGTTGTGAGATTTAGTTCCATTAGCTTATGTTCGTAGCATAATCCTCTTAGCTCTGGCACCAATCTTGTTGCAAACCTTTTGTAGTTTTGCAATTTTTAGCTTTATGCTTCACAAGGTGAAGATTCCATGTCGGTGATGCTTATTGTGTTGGTCTAACAAATGTTGTGTAGATTGCTTCGAAGGAGTCCTGATTTAGGTTTCTAAAAGGTGTTTCTATATTTGCTAGCGTCCCATATGTTGCTGATGTTAGTCTGTTTATGTATGGCTCTGGTGTGAGAGTCGGAATTATATCTACTCACAGATCCTTTTCTTTCTGATTCCTGTAACTGTCTTCCCTGTATGGTATAGATGTCTTCTGGTCTCTTTTTCTCTCTTTCACACGGTCATTAATTTACACTTGTTAGGATGCAATTCCAGCAACCGCCCCAAAAGTTTGTCAAGGTTTTCCTGTAACTTTCGCATCTGATTTCACGTTCCTCATCAGCTTTGCATCATCTGCAAACATTGAAGTGTCTGAGCTCACTCCCTCCGGTAGGTCGTTTACATAAATTAGTGACAGCAGCGGTCTCGGGACAGAGCCTTGTGGGACTCCAAGTGTTATATTCCTCCAGCTTGAAACCGCCTCTTTGACTGTGACTATTTGCTTTCTGTACTTCAGATACATTCTTACCCAGTCCACAATGCTTTCCCAGTTATGTCAGCCTGCTTCGCCATCTTGTACAACAGTCTATGATGGGAGGAACAGTGTCGAACGTTTTTTTAAAGTCTAGAAAAACAGTCTACCTAGCCATTCTTTTCCTGTCTTTAGTAACGTTGTGAGGTGTCGTGTTTACAGTGTGAGGTGTCGTGTTTACAGTGTGATGTGTCGTGTTTACAGTGTGATGTGTCGTGTTTACAGTGTGAGGTGTCGTGTTTACAGTGTGAGGTGTCGTGTTTACAGTGTGAGGTGTCGTGTTTACAGTGTGAGGTGTCGTGTTTACAGTGTGAGGTGTCGTGTTTACAGTGTGATGTGTCGTGTTTACAGTGTGAGGTGTCGTGTTTACAGTGTGAGGTGTCGTGTTTACAGTGTGAGGTGTCGTGTTTACAGTGTGAGGTGTCGTGTTTACAGTGTGAGGTGTCGTGTTTACAGTGTGAGGTGTCGTGTTTACAGTGTGAGGTGTCGTGTTTACAGTGTGAGGTGTCGTGACTACGGTGAGAGGAGTCTTGCCTCCATCAACCTAAGATGGAAAGAGGGTGGAAATTTAGGAGACTTCGTCTTGGCAAATGTATTAACACCTTACACCATAGAAGCACGCAAAAGTGTTTTACAAAACAAACTTACCTCTTTCCTCTGGAGATCTGATGAAATAATTAGACATATAATACATTTTACAAATATTAAAAAGCCTTTCTGAATTATACAATTTTGCAACATAATTGACCTTTTTCTTTATTTTTATATATATTTTTTTTGTCATCAACAATTAAATAATATTTACCACGAATACATCAAGCAGAAAGTGGTTTAACTGGTGCTAAGAAATGAGTAGCAGTACTTACTCATTTCCATTCATTGATGGCTTCCTGTAGACAACGCGAGGAAAAAATCATTATGAGGCATTCGTGTAACATCCTTTTTTATTAGTAAAATATACGTAATGGTCGCGTTACTACTATAGATGGAAACTGATCTACTTGTATATGCATTAACGTAGGTGAAAATGCACCATTATTAGAACCGTGCGTAATGAAGTGTTTCTCTAGTTTAAACATTGTATGGTGCCTTTGAGAACCATGACCAGGTGCCGTCGGCAGGAGACGCTCTATCATGATAAACCTAACCTGCCCCTTGGCACACACACACACTTGAGCTGCAGTTCATATCTTGAAGCTATAAGATACTTCAAACTTATTTGCATGTACTTCATACATCACCGGTGGTGACGGGGGTATCCACACCAGCATATCGTGGCCTTACAGATGCCCCACAAAGACCTGCCCCGAAAGGCTCACCTGGAGCAGGGGTTGTAGCAGAAGGTCTGGTCAGAGAAGAAGGTCTCCCCGTCTTCCAAGGTGTCCGGCAGGCTCTGGTTCAGGGTCTCGGGCAGCACCGTGCACACCGCCCCACCCACCACCGTCAGCGCCCCCAGGATCACGTAGGGAAGGTAGTGGCCGTACTTGGACTGTGGAAAAATGACAGTGTCTGAATTTGTGGTCTTGTGGTCACATTGGATTACGGAAGTTATATAGATATATCAACTATATATCATATATATCAACTTCATATACTGTATAGTTAATATATCTATATATAACGTTGATATATATATAGGTATATCAACTCATATGCAGGCTTGTCCAACATAATGATTGCCTTCAGAAATCTGAAAGATTAACTCGGTACTCAGTTTACCATTCACGTTAGACAAGTTCCGGAATGAGCTAAGAAGAATTGAGAAGCTGTAAGTCACTAGAGAGAAGAAATTGGATACATGTGATAACGACCTACAAGATACTCAGACGGACTGAAAATGTAAACATGGACAGACATCTCACATAGGAAGGACATAGTCGATGGAACAAAGATAATTAGATTACGAAATAAGCCACGAATGTCAGTCATTATTGTAGCATTATAGTAGTAAATAATTTACATTAAACTTGGGAGTGACATCGTAAATTCTATATACTGATTCAAAGACAAATAGAACTTAAAAGATTTGAGAACTGGAGCACCAATTTATTGAATACATAAGGAAATCACAATAACGTGATATACTATATGATATGTGTAATATATATATATATATATATATATATATATATATATATATATATATATATATATATATATATATATATATATATATATATTTAGGGGTACCACCACTGGTTTAATTAAAGGGACCCACATCCTCGAAGAAGAAAATAAATAGTGTTCAGAGAAGACCTTGTGGATTCTCACTGAATACTTTAATCTTTTCCTCTCCTACCACCACTATTATTTTTTTATTTTTATTTTTATTTGATTTTATTGCAATGCTACAGTTTACAGAAAACACACACTTATACAACAATATACCAATCAGTGTTCGAAGACCTCGTCCAGCTCCTCGGGGGTCGGGTGCGTACCCAAGATACAGCACGCATTTTCCCTCTGAACAGCGACACTGAGGCGCTGAAACATAAAACTGGCCGCTCTTGGGTCTCTAGTCTTCCCAATGAGTTCCTCGCCCAGCTCCTTCAGGAACTTAAGTGCACATTTACCCCAGGCGCCCAGAGTCTCAGAGCCTATTGGCACGAACCTGTAACAACGTTCTAGGTCCCTGTACTTGTTAGTTTTCTGGGTCTCCCTGAAGGTGGCCGCCCCGCCTCCCTCAGCTGCGCTGTAAGGTAGATAGGTATCAGCCAATGTGGATGCACACGTGTAGTCCCACACGACCTGTTTACCTTCCCTCCACGGCTGCAGGGTGACTCCATCTGGGCGTTTTTGGCTTTTGTCAGGTCTGCACAACTGAGGTTCCCTTTGTGCTGGGCATCCAGCTGAAGCCAAACTTCTCTTGATGATGTCATTGACTGCTTCATGTCTGGCAATCTTTCCCTGTGTCTTACGACAGATGAGACCATGGCTGCCGTATTGGTCTGCCCGTGCATGGCCGCAAATACACCGGTGCTCGGTGGAGATAGGGGCGGCAAGGCGCAGAGCAACACCAATACTTAGGGTCCGATGGTCCAGGCGGGTGCCCAAGGCGGAATTAGGGACTGCCAACAGGAAGTCCCCGGCATGGGGCGCTTGCACAGCTAGAAGACGCGCTTTGTCCTTCCTGGAAGCTGCCTCCAGCAATGATGTGGCGATGTTCTCCACTATGGGGCTATCCCATTTGGACTGTTTGCAGTCATTTGGAAAAGTCGGTCGAGGATGAGAGTTGACGAGAGTGTCCCACTGACCGGCTCCTTCCGCGAATTTGGGATCATGAATCCCAATGGAGTCTCTTAGGTGTTCCGGCAGTATTTCCTTAACAAATTCACCTGTTGCACTGGTCGAAGATAAGAATGCTGGCAATGCTAACTGTGTCGCCTTGCGAATACCTATTCCCCCGAGGCTAACTGGGAGCGTTGCTTGGTCCCATTGGTCATCTTGCAGGGAGAGGTTTAACACTTTCACGGTTATTGACCTTAGGAGTGTGTCATATTCTGTTAATTTTGGGCTGTCGAAGGAGGGAGCACACCTTAGGAAATAGGTCAGTCTGGGCAAAGCCAGGCACCTTGTGAGAAGGTACAAAGCATCGTGGGCGTCCACAGCCCCTATTCTTCCCTCCATCCTCCTCAGGTCGTATATATATATATATATATATATATATATATATATATATATATATATATATATATATATATATATATATATATATATATAATCACGTTATATCTCATAGATATGAGATATTGCGTGATATATCTATTAGGTGCGCGTCTGGGGCTACCCAGGACGCTGGTTCGATCCCCCGTCCATCTCCAAAGATTTTCTCAACCAGTTGAAGGTTAAGAGGCAGGACTCAGAGACTTTGTTCATCCCCAACGTCTCACTAACACAGCTATGTGTATACTGGGAAGTATAATAGACGTGGTATAGCTGGATTGTTTCAAGTGTAGGGTAGACATATATGAATGAGTTTAGATGGATATAAATAGGAGTAGCCTCGTATGGGGGCCATTAGGCCTTTCTACGTACGGAGACAGGAAGACCCAGAGACAAAAAATGGGCACTTACCAAGTAGACGATGTAAGGGGAGGCGAAAGCTGCTATGTATCCCAGCGTGTGTATGGCCCCAAATCCCGAGCCGCGGGCCACTGTGGGTAGGACCTCCACAGGGTACTGTTGGCCCACGTTGATTGCCATAGTGATCATGAACCTCCCCGCCACAGCCATCGACATGATGCTCATGGTGTCATCTGCAGGAGAGATAGATGGTTACGTTACCAGTGTATCATGAAGGGAAAAAATCATACTAAATATGATCTTTTCTCTAATTTCCCTTTTGTTTATTCTTCTTGTAAGTCACGAGGTTCAGTGTTTACAAAAAGAAAGTGCTAAAGTTTACCTGTGATCACCGGCCCTTGCTCACCTGGCTTGTTCCTGCTAATCAATATATAATATGTCAATATATAATATATAATATATAATCAATATATAATATAATAATTTTTATCGCCCTTCTAACAGGGCGATAAAAAATCGTCCCAGAACTTAGCTCTCATATCAGGAATGGTTGAGGGGCCTCGGGACTAACAACACTACAAACTCAAACGGCAAAATCGATTTTATAGAGGCATTTAAAGTACTATTAAAATTGGAAGACATTATTCCAGATCACTCCTGTAAAAGGTTCACTCGAACGGGTAACAGATTCATGCTCAACAAGCCATAAGGTGAGGACGGAAAACAAAAATGTTTTATCAAGCATATGGTAATAAACTCGTGGAATTGCCTACCCGCCGAAACCCTAAAAGTCAAAATAGTATTCAATTGATAAAAATCTATTGGAAAAAAAATCCCCGAGGATAATTTGGAGCTTTTGAATCCGTTTCCTGTTCTATTCACAAAATATAGTGGCCCCCAAATTCAGGTAAGTAAAGAATTAATGTGGTTTTAATTGTTTCAATACAATTAGTGAACAGAAGTCATTGGATCTATTCGTTGTGTCCGTTGCAAATTGACGTTAAAATGATCCCAGATGGGCACCTTAGATGTGGGCCAATCGGTGACGAGCTGAACAGTCTAGAATAAACACTTATCGTGAACACCAAGTATAAACAACTAGTAAACACTACAAATTGTACATCATGTTTTTTTAATGTAAACTCGGATGTTTTCCTGTTTGGCAATCCTGTTCCATAGTAAGAACCGATTTCATTCATTATCATAGTCTCTGTATTCACCTAGTTGTGCTTGCGGGGGATGAGCTCTGCTCTTTCGGCCCGCCTCTCAACTCTGTGTTATAGTCACTGTGTCTTATTCACTGTGTCTTAGTCACTGTATCAGAGTCACTGTGCCTCAGTAACTGTCTCACACACTTGTCAGAGTTTCTGTGGCAGCCTTGAAGAACACAGTGGAATCAGAAGTCGAGAATGATGTTAAACTGGCCAGACTGGAAAAGTCTATGATGACTAACACTGAAGGTTTAAGGAAGGTCAAGCTGGGACTAGGTATATAAGTACCAATAGTGCAACAGATGTGTTAAAGGTTTTGAGAAGATTTCAATCTCTCTGCCAGAAATAGTTCAACCTGTTCTACCAGTGACAAAGTAGAACAAACTACTACTACTTGGCAAAGCAAATTTGACAAATAAGTTAAGAGTGAGTAGGTTTCAGAACCAGGGTACTTGACAGGACTAACAAATGCCGCGATATTTCAAAGGGATGAATATGTTGACAGCTATTTCAGAAAAGAGCTGCTTCTGTTTTTAGTAATGGCATATTATCTTAAATATTCCAGTAACAATTTTGGGAAAAATAACTTCATCATTGCCGATCTAATCCAGAAAAAAATGTGTGATGTCCAGTAAAATGTAATTATTGTTTTTTATAATAACAAAATGCATGTGAGCAACTCTCATGCTAGTATCTCCTGCCTCTGTGAAATCATATAAATAAAATGTAGGTTCATGTAAGGTAGAGGGAGGAAGCTGAGGTGGTAACTTGACAGATGAAGGTATTTACCATGAGATGCTCCAACACGCTTCCTCTCGACCAGCCAGTTTGGAGATCAGTTGTGTTGGTTCTGCACAACTTTAGAGCGTGTGGAAGGCAATTCTTACTTCAAAAAAAGCACCCAGGCATGAAAGTTCGTCTGACCACAGGTCTGACTGGTCTTGCAACACAAGACCAGTCAGATTATGGTCTTGTGTTGCAAGACCATAATCTGGTCACTCATGGTAACAGAGACCTCAAGAAGATAACCATGGATGTATTTTCCCAGAGAGTAAACCATAGAACACACGAGGTCATCTTAACTGGTACTTTCTTCGGCACTTTGAGATAACTGTTTAAATAATCATCAATATCCAATGAAGTACTTAGACACCAGAATGAAGAATCATTAAGAAAACATCCATCTCGATTAGGTATATTGCAGGTCGTCAGAGTTTTGGTCATGTCAGAGAATGCAAATATGTGGACAGAGGCAAAGATATTAAACCTCTTATCGCACGCATGCAGTTCTCTCTCGTCCATCATCTTCGCCCCCTCCCTCTCTCTTCCCCCATGTCCTCCCTCTCTCCCGCCTTACCTTCTGGTATGGCAGCTATGGCGAAGCAGGCCAGGCCGCTGACAATGAGAGTCCAGACGGTAGTGTGGCGGCGGCCGACTCTCTCAACGGCCAGCATGGTGAGGAAGTCCGCTGGCAACTCGACGAAGCCGGCGATAGTGAAGGTGATGAACATGTTGGAGCCGATGTGTTCGGTGTTCCTCATGTGTCCGTCGTAGGCCACGGTGATCACCATCCTGAGGGCAGGGAGAGCCAATGGTTGCTGCTGGTTTGTGCTGGAAATTCTGCCTGTGATTTACATTTGACTAATTTCAAGTTTTTATTTTACTGATGCCAGATTTCTCTGGTTACTAACATAATCTCCTATGTGGCTGTTCTATTCGTTCCGGACGCCCATAGAGTCCTCACAACCTGGTTGACCAAGAACTTAAGGGATCTGTTCTGTCTTGAAGACTTCTGCAAAGAAAGCTAAGGCAAAGAATCTTGCCTCGATGGCGGTGATGGTGAGGCCCGTAGTTAAATTGGATGTTGATGGTGGCTACGGTGTATAACTCACCACATGACACAGAGGACGAGGAAGCGCAGTCTTAACTTGGGCGTCTTGAGAAGGTCAATGACAGTGACCTGCTTGTTATCTTGCTTGGCCTGCTCCTTCCCAAAGTTCTGAAAGCACTAAGAGTCTGAGATGCAGCCCTTCACACAGACAAAAAAAATACTCAAATACTTTCAAAACAATATCTAAATAATCAAATTAATGTGTCTCTTTAGAGTCGAGATATCACATTACCAAATACTGACCTCGAAATCCTTGATGACCTCCTGGGTTAGGGTCTTTTGGTTGACCTTAGCCGCCTTTGTCAGGATCTTGACCGTCTCCTCAACCCTGCCTTGAGCCAGCAACCAGCGGGCAGACTCAGGGACCATCCTGGCCACCAAGAATACACGAAACTCATAAGTAAATAATATTTTTGTCGGGGTGGCTTTAATATAGGGTTGTGTAATGTTTCCCCTGGTTCATTGAAATATATATTTATAGGTTAACTGTGGATAGTAAAATAAAAAAAAAAGCACGTCTAGCAAAGGTAGAGGTGGATTAGGGTGGGGAATGAAGTCTCGTTATTAAAACGTTTGTGGTATTAGAACATTATGGGAAAACTTCAGCTAAAGGCCACTCCCAAATGGTAAGTAATCCTCATTTGTAAATAACTCCGGATTGTACAGTAGAGGATATCTGACACACAGGTTTGTTTAATCGATAGTGCCTGGGAAGTTTCCTTGAATAACGTAGTACGGAAATGTTCATTTAAATGTGCCATTACAATCACATTTAAAAAGTGCTGGGCTATATATACAGGTGTTGCATTTTCCTATCACTGTAGGCTTGACGACCCTCATGAAAGCTTACAGCTCATGATACCAATGAGAAATGGTGCTGGAACCTCAGCGTGTTGTTCGCATTCTGTAAAACCATCGTAAGCTGGTCCCCCTTAATCTCAAGCATCATTATCTTGATGGAGATGGGTCTTGGCTCACCAGATGAAGAAGAAGCAGATGAGTTGAGGGGCGTGCATGATGATGGTGAAGATGGACCAGTCTGCGACCCCCACAGCGATCCAGGGCATGGCACACATGGCCAGCGTCAGGAAGAACATGATGGGAACGTTGGCCATGATGGTGCGGTACTCACTCGACACATACTCCAACACTGCAACAAGTGCATGTTATTGCAAGCTGGTGTTGCATCACTTGTCATGGGGGAGCATTCATGAAATTTCGTGATGCATATCTATTTTTATTTTAGAATATTATATGATAAACGTTGTCTGGACTTTTATATCTGTTATTGAATATCTGTAAATGAATATTTGCTATACCATTTCTATTGTTTATATTGGGATCAGATCATTAGGCAGTGATGTGGTGGAGGCTGACTCCATACACAGTTTCAAATGTAGATATGACAGAGCCCAGTAGGCTCAGGAATCTGTACACCAGTTGATTGACAGTTGAGAGGCAGGACCAAAGAGATAGAGCTCAACCCCCGCAAGCACAAATAGGTGAATACTCAGTCATAACCAGTCAAAGGCAGTTAGGCATTCACAGTTCTGATAATAACCAGTTACAGTTTGTAAACAAAATGAGTCTGAATCTGTATGCTGGTACAGTGCGGTTGCAACTGGCAATAACACTCATTATAGACGAAGAGAAGGTGGCCGCGTGGGAGAAATTGTAATAGCAAGAATTCGTCGTGGATACAAATACCCATGGAGGTATGGAATGGAAACAACAGCTGAGCAGCGAAGCTGGAGAATCTGTGGTGTGAGCTATGCCGATGATATACTGATCCACACCAATGGGTATACCAACACCCTAAGTGTTCTGAACCTCTGTATTGAACACATGTCAGGAACTATAGGCTTAGTCATCTCAGTAGAGAAAACAGAGATCCTGAACCGACGCCCACATGTAACAGCCTTGTCTGGTTCTCACTTTCTCTCTGCCTCTCTCCTGTTTCCCCCTCCTTCTCTCTCTCCCTCCCTCGCTGTTCCCTTCCTTTACTTATCTTTCCTCCATCCCCCCTTCTCCTTTCCTTCTTACTGGCCTGGTAAGTATCGGCTCTCGGCTAGCGGTCGGTTGGGAGACATATACTAATTGCTTTCCTCTCTGGACGGTCGCCAGGGCAGGTTTACTGCTGTGTCGAATTCCAGGAGAGGCCTCTCATGTCTCCCCTCTGCAGCCTGTCTGAATTTTCCAGTTTTTGGTGAGAAAACTCCGCCTCTGGAGTTAAATATTTATCGTTGGTCTGAGTGCCAGGGGGACCTAGTAGGCCTGGTTTCAGCTGATTGGGTGGAGGCCTAGAGAGGAGGCGGAGTTTTCTAGAGCAGGAGAGCATCAGTGGGTGGAGCTTTGACTATCTTGAAGGATACGAGTGTCAGTGTGATTTCGGGGGTGATTAGAGGTGGTGGGTGATTAACCAGGAGGCCACAAACACCGGCTTAGAAACTGTATAAAGGTGTTTGTCTGTTTGAGTTCCCTGTGAATGTTGTAGTCCATTACCATGCCTCTAAAGTTAGGATGTCACTAGCTTAGGGATTATTTTTTTGTATTATTATATTAAGTTACTTTAAATTATTCTCCTGATATTTTATATTTATCCCTTAATTATTTTTGAGTCATAGTTTTTAAATTGCTTTCAACATTACCTGTGATCTGTTGAGCAGGTATATGAGTAAATATTGTTGACCAGACCACACACTACAAGGATAAGGGATGACGACTTTTCGGTCCGTCCTGGACCATTCTCAAGTGACAATCGACTTGAGAATAGTCCAGGAAGGACCGAAACGTCGTCGTCCCTTCTCCTTCTAGTGTGTGGTCTGGTCAACATACTTTAGCCACGTTATCGTGACTCATCGCCTGCATATTTCCCTTGTGATTCACGAAGTAAGCTGCAAAAGGAATTCCATTCACTCAGTAAGTATTGAAAGATCAAACTTCCCTAACACTGGGTATTAGTTGACTGGTCTTCGACCGAGTCAATCAAAGTGCCTGGAGTGGTTGCTGCATTATTAGTTTATGAGTAACCTTACCTTTTCATCTGGTCTGTTAGAATTGTAAAGATATTTTTAACATCTTGGTCATTTCTCCTCCCCTTCATGAGGAATGAGCATTTACTGCTGCGAGAGCGAACTCTTCCTGTTGTTTTGGTTTATATAAATACAGTTATTACAGGCTAAGGGGTTACATACAAGTTATAGCAACATTACAGTGAGTGTTATCATAGGTGTACAATAATAACAGTGATCAGTGTTCGTTCAATGGTGACATTCAGTCGTATTACAATGGTGGGCATTGTTACAATGGTGGGCATTGTTACAATGGTGGGCATTGTTACAATGGTAACAGCAGTGTTTGTTGCTAACGTTGCACTCGCCCAGACGGGGTGAGGCTGCTCACAAGATGCAGCTGCATGATGCCTCTCTGCTCGACTATGTAATCAGCTATAAATATCTTGGTCGTGAGGTTCCACTGTACCGCAATGTTGTAATCACAGCGGGTCGTCAGTGTAGAGAGAGGCTCCGTGCTCTCAAGGCTGTGGCAGGCTATCATCCACGCTTTGACGCAAATGTGAGAAGTGCCAAAAGAATGCCTTTCTAATATATTAGATCTCTGATCGATTATGCTGCGCCCATGCTTGCACTAGTGCCTGAGAGAATGGTTGGAGGGCTGGAAAAATGCAAAACGAAGCTATAAGGATTATCCTTGGATGCCTTCGCTCAACTAAATTACTAAACATGAGGAAGGAACTGAATATTCCATGTGTATAAGTGATCGTATCACTGAAGTTATTGCTTTAATTGGAGTCAAGATGCTTAGGCTAACTCACCCTAACCCCCTTCACTGAAGCCCTCCAAGCCTTCTTTCTTGAAGGTCAGCATCCCTCCAAATGGATTACCAAATCTGCCATTGTCCTCAGAATGTATTTTTTTCATCACCTCTTCCAAGAGAGAGACAACATCGACACTTTCCGGCCACATGGGAGATTACCCCCTTTCCAAATCACTGTCCCACCCTCTTTCCCACCCAAGAATCTGATTAATGAATGAGCAGCCTGCACATGACTGTAAAGCTGCCGCCCAGTTTGGTGGGCGTGGAGCAGGATTGGTAACTGTGACTCACCACAGAACTGAAGTGCCTTGTATAATGACTGTTGTGAGCCTCTTGTTGAATCACTTGTCACGTGTCACTGTGCCTTAATCCACTCGACCATCAGTGACCGCACATAAGGAGGTGATACCCAAAGCTATTTGACACCCTCCCCCCCCTCCCCCCACGGCGGCACTTTGATGGTAATCTTGGGCATAGCTATTTCCACTAAACTGAAGTGAATTGATGAAATAGCTATGTCCAAGATTAACATTAAAGTGCAGCCAGGGAGGTGGTCAAATAGCTTCGGCTATCACCTCTTTATATGCGGTCACTGATGGTCGAGTGGATTAAGGCACCGTGACACCAGTTGCAATGTGCTCCTGGAGGTCCGGGTTCAAGTCATTTCTGGAGTGTGAAGTTTTCATTTATATAACTAGCTTCAAGAGATTGTCACTTGTTTTAGCTAAACGAATGAACCCAATTGTGGTGTGAGTGAAGGACACCGCCTTGACCTCTAACTGAGAGAATGTAAACATCTAAGAGAGATTAGAAATGTGTGTAGCATAGTAAACCCCCACATTGTTAGAGTTAGGAAAATACTATCTGTCATATGATCGTTCTTCTCAAAATATCCCCCATTTTGCACCCGCAAAATAACGTAAGTTTTTAAGGGTTTACAAATGTTAATCTTTTTGTTTGGTAAGTTGTTCACTTGAGACAGTTAAGCAAGTTCCTGCTGTGTCTGGGTACAAGTGACAGGATGAACAACCCAGCGGGTTTTCTTCCTATTGGGGGGGTGTTGTACATGCAGCTATGGCGGTGTGTCCACTCACAGGACGAGTGGCGCTGCCCAATACTGTCACTATGGCGGTGTGTTCACTCACAGGATGAGTGGCGCTGCCCAATACTGTCACTATGGCGGTGTGTTCACTCACAGGATGAGTGGAGCTCCCCAATACTGTCACTATGGCGGTGTGTTCACTCACAACATGAGTGGCGCTGCCCAATACTGTCACTATGGCGGTGTGTTCACTCACAGGATGAGTGGCGCTGCCCAATACACTCACCCCTCGGGGCAAAACTTTACAAACGTCTGGTGTTACCAGAACACCAACGTTATGAACTCTCACGAACCCAATGTACCTTCTTGTATATAAATAAATAAATAATTAAATCAAGATGTAAGGCAGGGCAGACTGCCTCGAAGGCCATTAGCTGGTGGGAAGGAGGCTGAGACTCTGAACCGTATGGTATTAATCCCTTTACCAACTGTCTACACGTGGTTGGTGGGGTGGGGGGGGGTTGATAGTTCGTGGAAGGGTCTGATGCTGGTTGGGAGAAGGGGGGAATAGATGTAGTGGGGATGGAGGGGATTGATCAGGCGTGACCACAGCCAATCTGTGATAGTCTGCCACCTTGCCAGTCAAACCCAGCACCCCAGCCCGAACCCAAACCCAGCACCCCAGCCCGAACCCAAACCCAGCACCCCAGCCCGAACCCAAACCCAGCACCCCAGCCCGAACCCAAACCCAGCACCCCAGCCCGAACCCAAACCCAGCCTGAGGCCCGCCCACCAAATCACCCATCCATTACCTAACCCACCATGGGGTCTGACAGTTGAATGAACAGCACTCGGGATTTGTAGTCCTAAGTTTCCAGGTTCGATCCCCGGTGGAGGCGGAAACAAATGGGCAGTTTCTTTCACACTGTTCTGTTACCCTGTTCACCTAGCAGTAAATAGGTACCTGGGAGCTAGACAGCTGCTGTAAAGGCTGCTTCCTGGGGATGTGTAATAAAAAAAGGAGGCCTAGTCGAGGACCGGGCCGTGCAGACGCTAAGCCCTGAAATCGTCTCAAATCATCTTAAATAACCCTGCCCGCCCGCCCACTCACTCAGCGAGTCAACCCACTTGCCTACCCAGGCAGCCTGCCTGCTCATGTAACCTATACCCACCCTGCCCACCTTCCACCCTGCTACCAATCCACCCTGCCCACCCACTTGCAACCTGCCAGTCAGCCACCTCACCCACCATCCATATTGTTGCTCTCCCAAATACAGTTACTGACAGTTACCGGCATTTGTAAACTTTTAGCGGAGCCTCGGATTTAACAACCTGGAAACAACCTCATATAGGTCGTTAAATCGAGTGGATACTGAATTTTTATTCACCTCAATTTTTATTGTCTAATAATTCATGTGTTATCTTTCCGTATTTACACTGAAAAATAATTTACAACTAAACTAGGTTTTTAATATAATTTTTATTATTATTTTACAATAGCGTAACTGGTCCAAGAAAATGTCAGGCTTCTAATACACTTAACCCATAAAGCATTATCATATCAACAAGAAATAGGCAAATTATTAGTAACAAATTATAAGCATGTGATGACTAAACTTTTGTGTTATTAAAAATAAATAATAATATTTTTTTCATGTTGACCATTAACGCCTATATAGGACTCATGACAATGACCAAATCATAAAAAAGGACAAGATTGATGATTGATGAAGATTAAGCCACCAATGAGGTGGCACGGGCATGAATAGCCCGTAAGCAGGGGCAAGGTATTTGTGATGGATTTATATCTACTTTATCTGGTGAAGTATTTTCGTTAACTGGCAGAGAGGAGCAGCAACGTGCTCCTACGTTCTTAATCTGAATGGCCAGATTTATAGACGAATGTTATACATATATCAGTTTTTAATGCACTGGAAACATTCTTCAAGTTTCCAGTGGATCTATAGCATTATAACGTTTATAGCAATCAAAGGGTTAACACCAGGTTAGGAGCATTCTATACTTCATCTCTTAAGATAATGTTTCCTGTTGTGAGAGTAGCGGGAAGAGCAGGAATTACAACTACCGAGTCGGATGCAACAATACAAACTTTGTACTCACGAAGGATGTACATGACCATAAAGTGGGTATCGTAAGTCATGCCAACGATGAACCTGAAGGCGGTGAAGGTGGCGAAGGAGGTGCAGAAAGCTGAGGCCACCCCGAACACGCCCCCAACCATGTTGGTGATGACGATGACCGGCAGTCGACCAAACTTGTCTGCCGCCCACCCGAGCACCGGCGAGGCCACCAGCGACCCCACGAAGAACAGCGACTGACAGAACGCCGGTCGCCAGTCCTCCTCGCACACCCAGTCCAGCTGTGAGTCCAAGACGCCAAGGTATAACTGATCACAGCTATAAATGGGAGACTAGTTTACGGAAGGCAGAGAATAGTCCGGTAAACCACGTCAACTGCAGGCGATGAGTCACAATAACGTGGCTGAAGTAGTTTGACCAGACCACACACTAGAAGGTGAAGGGACGACGACGTTTCGGTCCGTCCTGGACCATTCTCAAGTCGATTGTGAGAAGGGTCCAACGGATCCGTCGTCGATTTCGACGACGGATCGAAACGTCGTCGATTTCGACGACGGATCGAAACGTCGTCGCCCCTTCACCTTCTAGTGTGTGGTCTGGTCAAACCACTTCAACTTAAGAGACATAAAAATGGAGACAATCTGAAATTAGTGATAGTATTATTCACACCTTCTACGTAGATTTCTTGGCCTTTTAACAGTGGTTGATACGCGCAGCTTTGAACTACAGTTTGCTGTGTTGAAATATGTAATGACAGTCACCAGCAGCAACACTGGCCGTGACATATACGTGTCTGTCAGCGATTTCTAGACCCTGGCTCACCACCAGAATGAGTGCCATATTGTCTCAGAGGCTGCACATCACATTAACGTGATGTGTCAATGAGAAACCCAGTAGGAGCTGGATTCGAAGCTTTTTCCAGCGAACCTCTTTCTTCCTGGGATTTGCTGGAAAGTTTCTTAAAAAATATACTAACATGAGTATTTTTTGCGCGAATAATGTATTCATATATACGCTTGTCACACACACACACACACACACACACACACACACACACACACACACACACACACACACACACACACACACACACATACTTGAGACATGTTACAAACTTGTTCGCTAAATCGGCTCACCCAGATTGATTGTTGCTGATTACCGACTGCACTAATATAGTTATTAAAGATAGTTTTTGCCAACAACGTGTTTAATTTTTTGTCTATGTTGTTGCTATGATTTGACAAAATATTGTGTAAGTAAATCCATGTGAAGACTGTGGTACTCGTTTACAATGTAATATTTGGCATTGTGTATATATTTAACTCAAAAGAATTGATACACCAATATCACTAGACTATCTTGACTTAGTGCGAATATCTGTGATTTTGTGTTAGCTTAACGATGAAATTATTAAATATGAATGCGAAAACGGTCAGAGAGTAATCATTAATAGGGGATACAAAGAGGAAAATATAACAAAAAATGCTAATATGTTTGAAATAGAGAAAATATGACATAAGCAGATGTGTCTCTGTGTCTCTGAAGGTCTAGCTAGTAAATTATGTTTACGCAAAAAAAAATATTATTTGTATTAATAATGTAAAATATAAATACATATTTACGAATTCAAATTAATTAACCAATTACCTATAGGCTGAGGCCAAATATTTAACTAAAATGCCGCTTATCTTTCCTTCGTTATACTTCCCGTAGTTAGGAAGAGGAAGCTTGTACAGAGGTATAACGAGGTTCCCAAGAAACTCGAATTACTGACCCTTCCCAGGATGCAACAAACATACATAACTCCAGGGTACATATTTTAAGATTTGGTGAATAAAGGCATTAGGAGAAAGGAAATATGTCAAGCCGTTGTTCTCCTATCCCAGTTCCTTGTCCTCCTATCCCAGCTTCTTATCCTCCTATTTTTACCACACGCCAGATAGTCATATTGGCTCTGCGTTTTCTCATAACTGTCTTGCCTTTCATGCCATACCCTTTTAAACTTTCTGTGCATTTTTCTTATTGTTTACAATAATGCCTTATACTTTATTTGCTTGTGAATGCTTTTTTTCACCAGTCTTTAATCATATGATCATTAATTTTGAGTCATTATTGTTAGACTTAAGGGATTTATATGGATTCTTATGTTATTGAGGTTTAAGGAAAATATTTTGAATCTTATACTTATTTTCAACTTTAATATAACTCAGTATTAGGTTCCTTGCTGCTGCAATCAATTAGTATTGTGATACACTGATATGACCGAGTATAATATGGTGCTGTGTCTTGGTACAGTGTGTATGATACAGTTACTTGTCACTGTGAATGGTACAGTGACCTAGTACATGAAATAACTAGGTAGTATTGACAGGGACGTATATATAAAATGACTCCATGAAGGGGTATTCAAAGATGTGCTTCGACGCAGGGTGGAACGTGGAACTGTAAATGCATTTTAATGATTTTGGAGACGGAACGACCTTGGTGGGTGGGAACTAAGTTATGGATCTGCAGCGTGCATTGTCGGGTGGGAGTGTACGTGGGGAGTGACTTGATTGTTTCACGTGAAGATTATACTAGTATGTACATGGGTGCTGTATAATGTAGGTGGGACCTTCTTTGCATGTGTATCTCTTTTTTTTTTTAGTTGCCTATCTATTTATATTGCAAGATTTTGTAAATGATGGTGTTCCTATAAGCAAGAATAAAAGACGTGTTGAAAAACATGTTTATATTCTATAGAGCGGGGGTTACCTGGGAGGTGATGGTGGGGTAGTAGAGGGAGTAGTCGTAGGTCCAGCCATGTGTGCAGCTGGTGGTGGGCCAGGAGGCATTGGCCCAGCTGGCGGAGGGCCAGGAGGCATTGGCCCAGCTGGCAGAGGGCCAGGAAGTGTTGGCCCAGCTGGCAGTGGGCCTGGAGGCGTTGGGCCAAACCATGCTGCTCCTTAATAACTTGCGGTAGGAGGCAAAAGTAATGTTAAAAAAAGGGTCAACACTTGAGCACCATATATAAATACCCACGAGCGTAATTAGGGCATGTGAATGAGTCTGGGTGAGTATACATTCGAACAACCTCATGTAGGTCAATAGGCTTTCCACTGTTTCCATAAAATTTTCATGATTTTGTGTTTTGTGATAATGTTTATTAACTAGTTCTACCTTGAAATATAACACACAAATGAGAACGACAGAACATTAAGGAAAATATGCTTCGATTCAATTCGGCAAAAAAACTAAAAACAATACTAGATCTACCATATGATTCCTACCTCAGGAAAGTCAACGTCATAGATCCTACACTGCAGGAACTTGCCGCTAGAGGCGTCCCTAGGGATGGTGAGGTCCTTGAGCTGTTCCTCCGTCAGGTTGAGGCCCTGAAGGTCAGGCGGAGCCCGACACCAGTGGGGGGGCGTCAGGGTCATAAATATCTGGCCGAAGTAGACGAAGGCCAGGAAGGAGTTCATCATGCAGTTGACCGTGAACAGTACCTTGGCAACCATACACAATTATTTGTATTTATAAGACAATAAATGCAGATTAAAACAAGAGAACCCAAATGCCAAAAAAGAAAATGCTAACGAATTGAATGACTAAAGACAAGTGCTAAATTGATGACTGGGGATAGAGGAGATTGACTAATTTTTACAGGAATGTTTGAACAATGGACAGAGAAGTAGAAGTCTAAGGATATGCATCTAAGTGATCCTGAAAAAAAAAGATCTACTGACTTCGCCGGAATAGCTTCTTCAAATAAAGTTCCTTATTAGTGCATACGATGAGTCACGATGACGTGGCTGAAGATATGACCAAAACCACACATCAGAAGATGAAGAGACGACGACGTTTCGGTCCGTCCCGGACCATTATCAAGTGTAGCACGTCGCATGGGAGTGACACACCTGATCCACGACGGACCGAAACGTTGTCGTTTCTCTATCTTCTGATGAGTGGTTTGGTCATCATTACTAGTGGCACTAATTCACTAATTTTACTCCTTAAGGAAACATGTGTTATTAATATCACATAATTCCTAAAGCTGTTTCACTTAAAACAGGTCAGAAGGGTTATTAATTGCCTAAACAGACCTCTTTAAGAATACTTCCAAGCGTTTTGTTCATTGTTCTCCTTAAAAAATGGTAAACTACAAATCAATAATGAAAACGTATAATCGCCGCTCAAAACATCCAAGGATAGCTTCGGTCTCTGTTATTAATATTACACAAGTACCACCACTGCTTAGGTCTAATTTTTTTCTACCACAGACATGGCCAGACATTTACAATGCTAACCAGCATATATATACATTTTCGTATATATATGCCGAGGCATCAATATACATTTTCGTCTGTCCTTCATCGACAGGGTTAGGGATCAGTTAAACATATAGTTCAGTGTCGGGTCTAATGTATGGGGCTTCATCTCATTGCCAAAGACAACCTTGGGAGGGCCTCAACGTCGTGCAGTATTGAATATGCTCCCTCTGCAGTCTGGGAACCGAGCGAGTGCTTGTCAACAACTCAGAAGGACCACACAACATTGCCATGGAGTGCCTCGCTTATAGCTTAAAGCAACGTTTTAACAAAAGTGACAACTGAGCCCCACTAAGTGACATATTTTTGTCCTATAAAAATGTATATTTTAAGGAACATAAAAAAAAATTATTACATAAATACAGTCTACTTAAAATTAAAATATCCCATGGGTTAAGACCCATAGAAAATATTCCATTGGTTATGAGTCTGAGGTTCTCCAGGACGGTGATTCTATCCCTCCATACTGCTCCAAAACAAATGGCCTTCCATATTAGATATTAGTGGTGGAAATGGCTAGTGTAAAGATCAGCAATCCCACTCTCTGGCCTCACAAGTACTTGCTTATCCTAAGGTATTAGAAGCACCTCAGGGCAGTTAGACTATCTTCAGGCATCAGGAATGCAGTAAGAGTATTCGCTTACACCGAGGCATCAGTAATATTAAGTGAGTGATAGTGATCTTGAGACCCCAGGATCGCCACAAGTACACACTGAGGAGCACGACTTAGTATTGTTGTAAGTACTATAGAGTCCCAACACTGAGGATTCTATAGTTTCACAATACTGCTGGCCAACTACGTGGGCTCAGGCTACATCCCATCGTAGCCAGGTATGGGAAGCCCAGATGCTGGACTATCATACCTTAAGGTGTCATGAACATGGGCTAACCTACTCTGAGATCTCTAAGCAGCACTGAATCCTCAGCTCACGATGAGGCCTCAGGAGCCTCACTGAGGCACCAACCGGCCTTGAGGCTTCAGGATCACCAGCCTACTATAAGGTCAAAGAAGCACTTACCATCTGGTAGCGGCCAAACCCTCCGATGTGGACGAAGATGGAGTCGAAGTCCGTGATGGTCATGATGAGTGCTGACGATACAGAAGAGTAAGTGGAAGATCTGGCCGGTGCTGGCGGCGAAGAGGAAATGGAAGCGCTGGCCGGCTTCACGGTCCTTTCTAATCTGTTGGAGGTTAAAACAGGAGAGTACTCACCCTCAGGGCTCTAATATATACATGCAAATTGTATAAGTAACTCATATAAACGCCCGAGAGAACATCTTCTTGGAGTTGGTTGTGCAAGACTGGTAATAACGTAGCAACTCTGCCATTGCATCGAACAGTACATGAAGAAACTGGTATTGTAGCTGAGGTTAAGATCTAAATAGGATAATGACATATTCTATTATTCGTCTCGGTCTCCGCACTCAGCCCCACACACACACCAGTTCTCAGAAGGATGAGGAATGACTCGACAATACCTAGGATTATTTTTACAGTGCAAATCCTCCCACATCTCTCACCAACCTCCCTATACCCTCTCTCACCTCTTCTCTATCCTTAACTTCTATATCCTTCTTAGCTTATATCTTCTTAACTTCTATATCTTTCTTAACTTCTATATATCCTTCTTAATCTCTAAATCCCCCTCCCGTTCCTTCCCCTGGTGAAAGTGAGGAGATATTTTCTGTCCCGTCTCTTAATCCATCAGTTTCTTCTATATCCCCTTCCTCTCTTCC